TTTAACTACACCTTTTTCTTGAAATTTAATCTAAATATCAGATTGTCCTGAAATTTCTCATCATACAATACTTACAATTAAGTAAACCTCATTGACAAATAAACATGTAAATTCTCATATTATAAAACTGAGACATATACGATTAAAAAGAGAAATAACGGCATAAAAACATCTATTGAGATTTTCAAGGTAATATTGATTAAAAGTTAACAAATATTTAGTAATTTAAAAATTGCTACTTTTTCCTCCTTGACACATCGTGTATTGTGAGCCATATGAATAAAATCCAACATGTAGAGCTTTGTTGCTTCGTTGATTCTTTCAGGAATCAAATTCTGAATAATGAAGTTCCCGATGCTTGACTCCAAAAACAATTCTTCTGCAGTTTTTCCTATAACATTACATGTTGTATTAAACATAAATTAAAAAAAAAAACCAGTTTCTCTCTCTCCCTTTTCTATAAATAGTATTTAATGGGCCTAATAAAAGTACAAATTTTCTGAAAATAGAAAGAAATGCTCACGAACCTATTTCATTTTCTGATGTCACAAGAATAAGCCTTTCGACTATATCATATATCAGCCATGAAAATGGGAAACTTGATGTAAACAAATGTCCTGCGCCGGTGCTGATCACTTTTGGGACTTTCAGTTTTCCAAATGCATCAACATCCATATTATTGAATATTCCAAGCCACATGTTTGCTATCCAGTTCATTTCGTCGCTATTGTTTTCCAGAATCGAAATGTTCTTATTCGTGTCCACGAAAGCAACGATGTTTGCCAGAAGCGGTGTCACTTTTTCCTCAATAATCTTCAAACAACTTGATCTGTAAATCATTAAAAATTTCACTTTCTTAGTAAATATCATACATATGATAATGTTTTATTAGAATGAATAAAAAGGGCAATTTCCGGGACATGATTAAGAATTTTTTAGGATGTAATTTAGGATAACAGTTTTCAGCTCGATTCATCACCCTTCCGTATGTCTAGCTGTTTCTCTGTTATATGTGTTTGTCAGTTTCCACAAAAACGTTAACCTTGTCCATAACTTTTGAATGGATGGAGTAAGGACTTTCAAATTTTATATGTGTATTTCTTGATGCGCAACTCCTTGGGTATTTTTTTTTAATCTTTTGATCTATGAGCTTGACCTAAATTTGTTTAAAACTTTAAAATGATTAGTGCTAGAGATTTCATATTAAAATACTTATGTATTCGTTAAGATAAAACCTTTCTATTTAAACAAACTTGTTTTGACTCGTGTATTTCGTGTTTGAGCATTTCACACTTTTGGGAAAAAAAACGTTTTGCCATGTTCCTTGGGTGGTTGCTAGGACTTCTACATTCAACATGTGTAATCTACATGTTCCATGTAACCAAAGATTATTTTTTCATCACAATTTTCCAACTCCTAACATTGGTGTTTGACCTACATTTAAAAATCTTAAACCTTGACTTTGAGCGGTCATACGGGAGCATATGCGTTTCATAAATACATATCTTTTACGCTGAATAAAGATCAACTGTGGAATAAATAATTCAATTATTTTTCATTCCATTCTATCAAAGGAACCAATATTTCTGGTACCTATAGTAATATTATAACTCTCATAAACTCGCATCGCATACTTTTCTTTTCCTTAATTTCTGTTGTTTCGAAGAATTAATTAATCAACTTGAAACACCAAAAGTGAGAAGAAAATATTTCAAAAGTACAAAAAAAAAACTCGTATAGTTTTAACTTTTCTAGAATTTTATACAATAATTTTTATTTTACCTTAAAGTACCAGTCTTGTTAATACTAGCAGCGGTTGCAGCTTCCGAATGCATCCAGGATTGATTTTGCAGGTCTTTGTCCATATTTTGCTTTGACAGGATTGTCACGATATGTTTCATTAGTCCATGACCAAATTGCCCTTTAAAAATTAAAAACATATAGAAAGTTCAAACGAATAGGTATAGCTTCTGATTGCCATCACAAACATTTGAAAGTACATGTATAGAAGTACAATATCATAAGTAAAATTCAAAAATCACTGCCACATTCTTACGGTAGTAGCTTTTGCAATGAATTTTCTATTTTTATAACGCGCCCAAAGAATAAATTATTATTATTTTATTATTACAATTATTATTTATTTCTAAAAAATTATTATTATTAAATTATCACAAATTATTATTTGGCAAAATTTCTGTCACTAACCAGTATATGAAAATGGAACAAATGTCTTAAAATTTAAAGAGGCTGGGTGGTCATGGCCATTTTTAGACGATTTCTATCTCCTAAGAAGAAGAGCTCCATATAAAGATATACAAAATGATCAAATTTTAAAAGTAATATGAATGAAATTTTTCTTTGTCAAATGATAGTTGACAGCTAAAGATATCATATCTAAAAATTTAAGTTAGATCTGGTGGTTAATTTTTTGTTAATTTGTTGACTCCCCAGCCTCCTTCAACATAAATCGAGCCATTTAAAAATTGTCAGCGCTACACAATAACATATATGGTATATATTTATATTATGATATAGAAAGACCAATATACCGGTAACATTATTGTCTTCAGTCCTGTCGAGTAAAAACAATTTTCTGTTTGATTACTAGTATATGCCTCTATTAAAATAACTTACCTTCTATCAAATTTTTGTTCTTGCTGAGTTCCTTAAAAATGAACCTTATTCTTCCAATGGACCTTCCTTCCTCTTCATCTAGTTCTCCGATACTTGCTAATGCAGGATGTATGCAATTAAACAGAATTGTTCGCAAATTTGCATGGCGTTCCTATGGAAATAAATGAATTATCATACTCTTAATCTCAAATCTTAAATCACGGTTAGAGGCTGTTGCGCTGAAAAAATTTTTTTTGATAAGAAGTGTAAATAAAATCCCAAACTGCAGTTCTTTTTGAACTAATATATTTTGCATGTCATGCTGAAAACATACAGCCATTTTATTAAATACTGCAAGTTACTTTTTTTTTAAATACCAAGGCACATTATGAGAATAATACTTAATCTACGTCCTCTCCCCTAGTACAATAGAACATGAGCTAGAGCGGTTTAGTTAGGGATGAGTTTTTGGTTCATTGATGTCCATCTGTTCTTGAAAAAAAAATCCTGACAGAGAGAGAGAATGAGAGAGAGAGAGAGAGAGAGAGAGAGAGAATGACGTAGGCATAATATTTTTGTTGTCCTTTTTTGTTTGTATGTCCCTTTCGAAAATTTTTCATTTACAATGTATATCGAGAGTTCACCACTTCTCTGTTGATGGCTGCAAATTTAGACCTTTATACTGCATTCAGAGCAATTGATAACAAATGACTTAAGGGAAAAATCTCTCTCGAGATGAAAAAGACCAGCACCTACTACGACACAGGGCCTGGTCATGTTTATACATTTCATCCAAAGAACCGATATACACATCCTAAAAAATGATCAAATTTTAAAAGTAATATGGAAATTTTTCTTTGTCAAATGATAACCCCAAAAATCAGAGCAAACATGACTAGCTGAAAATACATATAATTTGGTTCATAGGCTATGCATTAAGTATTTAATTTTTTAAGTATATATGTTGAAAGAAAATTATTATTTGTTATCTTAGATAATGCTTATAACACAAGTTTGACAGATAAATAAATAAAACCATCAAATATAAAATATAACTAAATATAGCTTTAATTATAAGAATCATCGATTACCCGTCGAAAATGACCTCTTTATTCCTCAAAGTACATGTCTAATTTATATGTACCTGTTTGAAGTCTAAAATGTTTATTTAATTTCATTTTGAAAAACATGGAGATAACAAATAGTATTCACGCCCAGAACTCCATTGAACAATTCAAAATTGGAGCAGAGCAAACACAAACTTTAAAAAAATCAGATATGGAATAAAGTGTCCGTACACATATCCCTACCTGCATGACATTTGGATTGGTAGTTTCATCCCCAGATTCTTCTACAAAGTTTTCTTTCAAGGAAAGACTTTCCATTAAAATTGAGGAGATTGTCTTTGACATTAGCGTTTCTATGCTTGGAAGTGAGGAGGAACGTAGCTCGTCAATGTGGACCGATGTCCATAACCCTGTCTGAAATATTCATAAAAATACTATTAAAATTCTGAAAAAATAGAAGGTTAATTGCATGTGTAACAAGAAATCTGTGAGCCAATGCTCACTAAGAATACCCCCGCTCTGAGGTGAATAAACACTTTCATGTTAATATACACAAGTTCAATTACAAGCAGATGCACAGAAAAATATGAAATTGACATCAGATTCATATCAAAATTAATCCTACCATATAGCATGCCTCAACAAAGAGTCTACTCATATTTCAAGCATCTGCTATGAATAGTTAATGAGAAAACTGTGACGAAAATTTGTTATGTATGAAACAGACGCACAGACAAACAGGAAGTTGGTATAAGATTTGAACAAAAATGCATCCCACCATATGGCATGCCTCAGAAAATATTGTGTTAAAATTTCAAGGATTTGCGATGAGTAGTTGCTGAGAAAACTGCGACGAAAATTTGTTATGTATGAAACAGACAGATGCATAGACAAACAGGAAGTAGACATCGGAATATTGAAGAAAAATGTATCCCACTGTATGGCATGCCTTAGAGAAGGTTGTGTTAAAATTATAAGCATCTGCGATGAGTAGTTGTCGAGAAAACTGCGACGGAAATTTGTTACGGACAGACACACGGACTCACAGACACAGGGACACACAAACACACGGACACACAGACAGACAGACAAGGGTAAACAGTATACCCCCCTCTCCTTCAGATCGGGGGTATAATAATTGCAACAGACCTGAAATCCGGAGAAGTAATGTTTGCTGACTCTTGACAAATGAACCAGAAATATAACACATAAATTCAAGGCGTTGCTTTGAATTTCTCGTTGTACGCAGTGTCTAGCACATTCTACAAGGTTAGAATTCTCATCTCCTGTGTCACACTGTACAAGCAATAGGCTAGTTCCCTTTTGTGACGTTTCTCTACAAATGAAATATACATGTCAAGTACTTCCAAAAGTGACAACATTTGATAAAATTGATCTTTTTTCATCTTCTTTTAATATCTTTTAGTAGTCAATAATGATTATTGAATTTTATATCAACGTAGGTTTTGAATTATTGTACCTTATCTGATAAGAAAACTGCTGTTCCGTATCAAATGCTTGTAGCGAAAGGATAGCGATTTTTCCAGACAAAAATGGCAATGTCCTTTCTAGTGCTCTTTTGTCTTCCACTGACATGAGCTTTGAATGAGTCGTAATCTACAAAATGAAATTCTTGTTTAATGCAAGCTTGTCTCATTTGCTAATTTAGGAAATAGGACAGGAGTTGCAAGCTTACTATAGTATTAGCATATTCAAATTTAAAGAAACAAAAGTCGATAATAAAACCTGAATAAAATTTCCACCAAATTCTCCATGGTCATTTCTGAATTGAAGAAAATCGCACAAACTTTCATGACATTGGTCTCTAAAGTACTGTGTAAAATATGCGTCGGCAAAAATCTGTAGTCTTGAGGTTTTAAGTCTCAGCACAGCATCTGGAGTACATCCCCACAACAAAATATCTCTTGCTGACTCCATTACGTTCTATTAAATGATAAAAATTTAAACAATGTAAAAGCGCAAAGAACATTTTTTAAAAGTTTTCCGAAAAACATTTTGAAAAATGAATTCTTACATTCTGGAATGTGAACTCGTCGTTAGATGTGCCTTTTGTGAGCATGTCCCAAGCTTTTAGAATGACGCCAGCGGATGTATCTTTGTTGTAACCAATGAAAACTTCTTCTATTCGTACACTTTTGCTGAAAGACACTCTGTCTAATAACTCTGTTTGTTATTTTTACACAGTGACGAAATTTGTTTTCAAAATTTACTTAGCGGAAAATTGTTCTAAATACATATTATACCTGTCTGAACTACAGATAAAGTCTTTTGCCCACTCCTCTAGATTCTTCGATAATTTTAACTGAATATCGGTCAGCATCCCTTCCATTGTCAAGAAATGTTTTTCTAGTCTATTTATCAGCGGAATTGGAAATTCTCTGTAAACAATTCTCTTTTCTGCTACAACTACCAGTCTAAAATGTGAATGTTCGAACAAGATTGATAATGGCAATTTCTGTTTACGTTAACATGAATTGAACGAACAGCTGATACAAAATAAAACCATTTCCATGGATATGATTTTGATTGTGATACATCGATTTAACAAAAAGGTTTCATGAGTCACATATTTTGGAATTCATAAAGTACCTGAATCTTTTGTCAACTTTGCATTTAACTCTGTGGGTTCCAAGTCCAAGATCAATGTATCTATCTGGTCCACTTTCCATGTAATACTACACAAATGTTACATTACGTAATTATTACTAGTAATTTGCACAAATTCAAATAAATGGTATTCATAACAACAGTTTCTCAGAATCAACTTTTGTTCCCAATTCGCTTGTTATTTTTCATCTCTTTTCCAAAGAAAAATATCTTGTCTCATTATGTGATATAAAATAAGATATCAAAAATTCTTGCCATATTAGCCAACCAATTATTACCTGGTTTAAAGCATCATATAAGCTCTCATAGAGGTTTTCCAAGTTCAACAAAACAACAGTTTTTCCTGTTTCCATGAATACCTTGATTCTGTTGATATTTCTACAGATCTGTTGAAACATAATCAAGTTGTCAAAGTGTCGCTGTGAGACATATAACTGGCTCTATTTCTTAAAATTTATAACAAGTATGAGTCTTTGTTCTTTACACTCATAGCACGATTTGTGAAAACAAACAAAAACTTTCAAGAAAAGCTGATGAAAGCTTTTGCTATACCTCAATGTATTCCTGATCTCTTGGAAAACTTGATCCAAATATGATATGTGTATTTTCCTCGTTTCCCATCAGTTGATGAAGAAGGTTTAATGCCCCATAATTTTCCGTTAATAGAAGTATGTATCTCGACTCTCTGTAAATAAATATAGTCAAGTTATAACTGCAAAGGCGTGGACATTTTTCTTCTTCCTAGTTGTACGATGCATGAAAACGTTTTAAAAATAAGTATACAGATACTGTGACATTGAAGGAATTAAACAAAAAGATACTTTTTGTTTTCCTCATAACGAAGACATTCACGAAGCAATGCTGTATCCGTCTTTGTAATTTTGTGTACGAGCTACAAAAAGAAACGACCTCAATTCATCTACACATCAATTATATTAATTGAAATATTTATTTCAATACACAGGACACATTATGTAAAGTGACAAAAACTTGTTACATGTATATCATAGATAATTAATTGCACATTAACTTTGTGATTGATGGATGATAATATTGATGGGTTTTATGGAAGGTGAAGCTTACTTGAGTTCTTGATAAATCTGGCAAAAAGTGACCAAACTCCTGAACTGGATCAAGTCCTTCAAGACCTCCAAAGTTTCGTTTAATAGCGATAACTAATTCCTGCTGATCTGGACTTCTTCGTTTTTCAGCAGCTATTGCACAGATCATTTTCACAAGACTATAATTTAAAAATTAGTATATGTGCAGGATATTTTTGTCGTGTACAAAATATAAAATAAAATAATCTTCGAAACAACCTACAGTTTGGTAATTATAATATTTCTGTACGAAAGGTCATAAATACTAATAATAATTATATGGATTATATTCTCAAATAAATATTTGAAATACATATACAATACGCATAAAAACTTAATATGAAACTTATATTGACCTATAGAAGTCACGCAGTCCAAAGAACTCTCTGGCCTTTAAATGGTCTTCTGTTAAGCTACCAAACAATGCTTCGCAGTTGCATGCCTTTTCAAATATACGGAGATACCCTTTGGCTAAGGGAGGAATGAGGTGTTCAATTTGTTGATAAACATTGTCAGAATGGCAAATTCCCCTGAAAGAGAAATTATTAAATGCTCATCTCAATCAACCACTCTATTTTTTGTCAATACACATAGCCAACTACAATAGTAACAGAATAGTTTAATCCTCCATGGCACCAGGTTTGATCGCCATGTTTAAAGAGGTCTGGGTTTGCTCTGCTTACAATTTGTATTATATCAATGAAATTGTGAGCTAGCTTAATTAGTTTTGTCGTTTTAATTTCGTATCTTGATTTACTAATAGGTCTTTTGCTGTCAACATACAGTTGTCAAAAATATATACTAGATGTACCGATTTGGATATGAATAACCTAATTATATATAATGAGTTGGTAGGGTATAAATATGAAGAAAATTGAAATGGAGCGTGCTATGTCTAATATATCTATTTTGAATTGTTGAAGTACTAATTCTTGACGAGCTTTAGCTTAGATACATTTTGAAAAAAAAAACATTAAAAAAAATCATATCAATAATACTTTGCACTTTCAACAAGATCTTGCTCATCAGGAACTTCTCTCTGCACTAATATTCCACGATTCATCTTTGCTGGATCCAGAGCCCAGTTTGATATACCAATGAAAGAAACCTTATATAAATAAATTTTCAAGCACTGATTAATATATTTTGTCAGTATTTTCAATTGTTAATAACATGTTTATTTACATTGTAATTTCATCGAGTATTTTTCTCTGTAGTAAAAACATAAATAACCTTTTTGTATTCTTCAAACTCCTCATCATCAGGACAACCATCTTCCAATAGAGGGTGCAATGCCTTTAATAAACACAAAAAATACATCAACAATGATTAAACCAAAATTGTTTACTGCCTAATGTCCCTCTCGAGAATTTTTTTTGTTGACGCCACCACTTGCTGGTAGAAAGTTGCAAATTTTGACTATACCCGGAACTCAGGGCTATTGAGCAGTGAGGGATCTCTTTCATCTCGATTTATACGGTCATATCTAAAGGACAGTCCCCATGTCCCATGTTGGATTCGAACTTGCGACGTAATAATCAACTTCTTACTCCGCAAAGCTGTAGCAGACGTTAGAAGACGGCACTGTGCCACGTGGGCAACAAACCAAAAATGTTATCTAAAATATTATGAAATAAAATACTAATATATACTTTACAAAGGTCATTATTAATCACCTTAAGTGGCATTCTGGGCGAGTCCTCGGCAAGTCCAACTTCATCCAACACAACCACTGATACAAATCTGTCTAAGTCTTTGTTCTTTTGAAAACTACTGGCCTGTTTGAAAGTTTTCAAAATCCCATCAGCAGTTGCCAATGGGCTACATTGAAACGAAATCAACTGTATCTGTAAACAATCAAAAAAGAAAGAAGATATCTTTGATTAACAGGTGATACTTGCATAATCTGTACTATCAAAATCATTCATTAAAGAAGGCTGCTAAAAAAATATTGACACATTAACTTTAATTTATGAGGGAAAATGATAAATTTATGGAACTTCTTAAATATTTTATTCAGAACAAATACAGCCATTGTGCAAAATTTCTAGTTCATAGGTCGTTAGCTACATCCAGGTAATATTATAATTTAATGAAAGAGAGGGAGCATACTTCTGCCATTTTTACATCAGTTGTATAGTCTTTCTCAGGTTGAACGATTGGAGATTATAAGTTAAAATTCAAGATATCAATATTTATTATCTTTTTTCTAACGATTTATTTTTTAAAAAAAAGATGTGTACTGTGGTCACTAAAGTGAGTTTAGTAGTATGACATACAGATTGACTAACATCATGTACTCCGAATTTTCCCCATAGTCAGTTATTTAACCCGTAATGAACGATCGTCCGTCCAGCGCTTTTGTTTTCACTCTTGTTAAATAATTTTTGAGAAAAAATACACCTATAAAAATAATCTAATTAATTTTTTTTTCACACTTTTATAGTTGTTTTTAGTTTAGACAAATGTTATCCTCAGCATAGCATAAAATTTAGCTATGTTCGATGCTCCGTCTTGACATCAAAATTCATTTAACCATCGTTTTATTTCTTTTTTTCGTGATATGATTGACTCCATATTTTAGATCAAAATTCTATCAAATTTGCTTAAAATAAAATAAAAATGAAAATAAATATAAACCGATATTAGGGATCCAACGGGGTTTAGAAAGTATTAATCAACGTTAACTAACTCTCATCTATTTTTACTGCCTCGGTTAACATTACCATAGATTTAATTATATATTATGGAAAATATAATTTTAAAAATTCTGAAATGTTTTTTTTTTCTTTTTTTAATGTTTGTAGTATGCCAATTTTCACCGAAAGACGTTTAATGAGTATTAAAATAGAAAAAAATATCTCAATATTTTGGAACAGCCCTCGTATATTTACTTCAATGTTTTATCATTGCAACAATATACCTGTTTGAGACTTTTGAACAGTGATGTTTGTGAATCCCTGCCTTGCATGTTATGGTCAAGAATGGTTTTTGAAAGCGATTTCGAACTTCCAGGTTTTCCAACCAAAAAAAGGGGAATTCGAAGTTCCACACATATCACCATCATGAAAAAATTTTCTCTTAGTGCAAGATTCTTTGCAATATTGTCATTGAGATTCACATTGTGTAGAAATGCCATCTGACACCTTAAATATATATATATTTTTTCAAAATATTATACTTTTGACATGATTTCCGTTATAATTTTACTATATTAATAGCATTTTGAAAATTACTGCCTACCTTGTTATTTCCCTTTCCATTTCTTGTGCTCCCCCGGAAAGTTGTAATGGTGATTCAAAGAACTTAGTTATGTATTCTATATATTTCTCCCTTGATTTAAGTGATGAGTGGTAACACACTCCAAGGGCAAGTAGAAGAGATCTGGTCATTTTCATAACATGGGCATGTAAATGCTAAAAATTTATAGTTTTTTTTTCAACTTTGATCTTTACATAATATGTACATAATTTCACTATAATTAAATGTACGTTAGTGAAAGAAAATAATTTTTAATAAAAATTTCACCATTTTTAGTTATCATTATCATGCAAAATAAAAAAACCAAACAATAACTAATTTTTTTTTTCAGAATTAATCAGTTATATCGTTTTAAATTTATAAATCGAATGTACAACAGAAGGTTACTGAAATATGTTTTCTATATATTGAATTTGATATATATTCAAATTATACCACTCCAACAGGTCTTGGAATTTCATCAATATCTTCATCAACCTCGCTTTCTTCAAGGCGATCTACAGCAGCAAAAATTTCGTGTTGGTTGTAAAACCAGCCAAATACTTTGAGTGTCCTTTCAACATCTCTAAGACTAACAAAACTGCACTCGTCCTAAAGATGAACCAATAATATAGCTTGTATTAAGAGCAAGATATAATGTAAAATAAGATATTAATTTAAAAAAAATAACCATACACTTTCTCTTAATTAATATCCTACATACGTACATTTTGTTTTCTCATAAATTCCTGTGAAGCAGTAAGAATACTGCTTATTATGTTGACCGCCTTTCTATTTAAATTTGGCAAACTGCCACTCCGTACCTACGAATATAAATTAAATATCATATATGTAAAATAATGCTGAAAATATTGTCTTTCATATATTACTAAATTGATACAAATCGCTCTCATAAAATCCCCCTCCTCGACACAAACACACAAATATTTTTGAAGTATTTCATAGATTAAAATGGAAAATATAATCAACATTGATACGAGTAGTTTAGGGCAATTTTCAAAAAATTCCGTTATGTATACAAGCAAAAAAAATGTGATGATAAAGAATACATACACATCTTTGAACCATTTGAACTATGTATAATTTCTCAACATAGTTGTCTAGTTGTCCAAAATCCCAAACCAGTGGTAACATGCTTTGTGGAAGTGGTTGGACGCGGTACACAAGGTGGCGCATTGGTATACGGCCTGCAAATCATACGAAAAGAAATAAGAGGGCTTTAAAACAATATATTTTATAATCAAAAATCAATAATATAAAGTTTGCTCTCGCTTATCCTCGTAAATTTAACTTACCGAGTTTGTCATCCGTTTCATCAGCATTGACATGATAACCAAGACCTGCTCTTTCTAGTCTCTCGATCATTTCTTGTGAGTGTCTGCATATCAAAGATAAATTAAACAGTTTTAAATCTGAAATTGAATCTGCAAAGCTTGAGAACCTCTTAAATCCGATTGGACAATTCATAAATTCAACAACCGTTACACGTATGAAACAAAAGGCTTTTGGTGTGAAAAACACTCATATAAGACAAAACAGAAAAATGTAATTTTGAATGTGTAAGATATACATTTTTAAAAAATTTATTCATGAAAAATCAAAAGGAAAAATAACATTGCCCTTTTGAGAATGTGAAAATTCACCAAATAATACCAAAAAGGATTACAATGATAAGGCAGCAACAAAAAAAAAAAGAAACTTACTTTCTGTACGGATTACAAGCTGCCACAAGCTTTAGATTTGTATTTAGAGCAAGTGGTTGCCCATCAATTGTCCCATCACACATTATTTCCTTAATACATCCAACCGCCTCTGTGGTATTTGCTTCGTCGAAAAAAAGAACCGTGATGATATGCTTTCCATAATTGTCACAATTATACTGAGCCAGTGACTCTGCCTGCTTTACCTTTTCTATGATGTGCTTTTTTGATGTACCGCCATGCACCTTTAAAATATTGCATTTTATTTCATCTTTAGATTATTTTAGCTAAAGAAAATATACTAATTGTACTCACTTTTAAGAGGTACATTTGAATATACTGAAAGAAAAAAGAGACCTGCTTGGGCATTCCCCATCTTCCACTCTGTCCCACAGATGTTTAATGAGAAAAAGATGGACGTTACGGAGATTAGTCGAGTAAATGTAATTGTTTGCGAGAAAGTCTTATCAAACCCAAGCTACATTAGACAGGGAAAAAACCCATCAAAAAAAGCCAGTGAGAGGAACATCGGTTTTATAGCATATTTAATGACGTTCTAGGGAGGGGGTTACTAGCGACTGCACGGCAATTTTTTGTTGCCTTTGTTCTCACTTACGCAACGTAAAAGCTAGACTCCATGGAACTTCCGTCAACTGTGACATGATTGCAAGAAATGCATATTGTCTTTGAAAATTGAAAAACAATATGAATACCTCAAATGCATCAAATGGTATACAGGAACATCGTTGACAAACTTGTCAAATTGCGCAATTTGTAAGGCTTTTAGCACTTTCTGTACGAGTAAATAAAATTCTCATCTGACCAGTTTTTCGTAATTTTTGGTCAAACGGTCAAAAATATAACGCATATTATGCTACCCTGCATTTCTTTTTCATTTCAGTATATATTATAAAGTGGAGTGCTTTAACTTGAAAAAAAAACTTATTAAAGAAGACATAAGTTTAAAAAATATTGTAAATATGATGCAGCAATACCTTCATCAGAGTCATTGTATTCATTTCTCCTTCAAGGCCAGCTGGGCATTGTAGTGAGCAAAGAAATTTTATCAAACAAGTCTTTCCACAACCAGTTTCCCCCATGACAATAACTGGTATATTACATCTAATAACAAAACAATATTATTGCACAATATTTTTAAATACACTGTGCGTTTAATGTAATCAAATTTTTCAGTTAAAATATTGTTAAGGTAAATCCCACAGTGACTAATGTGATGTCCTAGGCTTTTAAAAAATCGTTTTTAAAAAAGGTAACTTCGCACCGCTGCATATATACTAAATATATCTTATATTCTCAGAAAATAAAAAGATAAAACTTGTATGTTAGGAATCTTATAACCTTTTTATTTTGCATAACATAATATAATTATATTTACGACTCATTATATTATAAATGACTGTTTCATTAATCAATTGTAAAACATTCCATCTTTATATGATTTTTTCAATATACTTGTATACATTATTCTAATGAACATGAAATATATATAGTGAATTTAAGTTGGAATGCAACGAAATTAATTTTATATATCTTTTAGAAAATACCAGATCTTTGAAATATAAAATCCTCTTTATATGATTTTTCAATAAAAAATTTATTGTAAAAATTTTGAAATATAAGAATAGATAATTTAAAAAATAAATAAGAAAAGAGAAATTAACAAGAGATGTGTGCAAAACATTTATGCCCCCTCCCCCAAATAATTGGAATTTGTAAACGAAGGAACTTAACTCTGTCCTAAATAACTCGATTACCCAACACAGATCCTGATTTAGATATTCTCATGATAAATCTCAATTTCATAACAATATAATCAACCCCTGCAAAGAAAATAAACGGAAACTGCATATAATTGGAATTTTCCTTAGTTCAAGGGGTATTACTCTGTCCAACATGACTCGGTCGTATCTAGAACAAACCTTGTCCTAGATATTCTCATAATAAATCTGTATACCAAATTTCATTTAAATATATACTATATACATCTATCATAGATTACATGTGATGTTCGTGTCATTTCTAAATTTTAGCTCCTCATCAATTAAACCCATCAGTGATTTTAAAACACAAGTCGCAATAGGGGTGGTTTTGTAATATACCAAAAGGTTTTAAATACAACTTCCCAATTTCAATCAGAGGACAGCACTTAAATAGATTTTAAATTTTTAAAAGCACAAATTAAAGATATTTAATCGTGTTGCACGTTACATTTTAAGGACGCTCTAAACATTGCACACAAAAGAGCTTCATTTATTGGGTAGTTTTATGCAGTTAATGTGATCTGCCCTTAGATGTAAGAAATTGTTATTTACCGTTAATTACATAATCTATAATAAATTAAAATATTTTTATTTTTATAGCCTTTAAAATCGTTACAACATATGTATGTTTAAAAATAATAAGATAACATTTGCACTTTATTAAATTTGCAATGGCTAAACTAAGTTCTATATCTTTTGATGGAAATGTATGCTGTTTTTAATTTTTAACTATAAAAATATGAGTGTATAATCACCTTAAATGATAAATGTTAAAAAATAATTTGATAAATTAGGACAAATAAAGAAGGGAAAGACAAAGTTATTGTTGTCATACAGTATTTAATTGTTAGATGGCCTTTCATTGTTATTTGTCGTCAGTAAAACATGCAAATATGAAACATACTAGTATGTGACAGACTGTATGGTGCCTTTTATTTCGAGTTATCCTGGGTAAGATTGAAGTACTGATTGGTCAATTTATCGATTAGGCTTATAACATTCGATAACTGGACCTTTCAGCGATTAATCGGCTACTCGTTGATAACTCTTCATATTTCCTATTTACTAATGATGTCTCCTGTATTAATTTTAATTACATTATTAACTATATATGTTCTCTTTATGCTATCTCTGACTTATCGTAATATTTACAGTATGTAGTAGTACCTGAAACGCATGTAAATCGCCAGCATTTTCTTTACATTGTCAGTTGTCAGCTCATATGTGTCGTCGGGGTCTTGTGGCATATCGTTTCCAATTACGCTACAAAGCCTCTCGATTTTATCTTTTCTGAAAATTAAAAAAAAAATACAAGAAGTGCTAATTTAGACATAATAAAAAGCCGTACCTTAAGGACAGATTATACAAACAATTTTTTCTGTGGAAAATCGAGTCGTGATATTTTGTCACAGGTTAAGAAAAGTGGAAAATTCTTAGAATTTTTTTTTCCTAAAACTTGGAAAATGTAATAAACATGGAAATTATTAGTTAATACTTCAATAAAATAGAAAATATGTACAAATCACATTCGGTAAAATTTTACAGATGAAAACAAGTTTCATAATATATTAGCTTGGTGCTTAAAGTGTAATATAAACTTTTTAAAAATATACTGAGCCAAGTGAATTTTTCGAGGAAATACAAAATGATAAAAGTCAGAAAAATCATATAAGGCTGATTTTCACAATTTTGCTTTAATTTTCTCCATAAAATTTGTCTGGCTTGTTTGAAACATATGGAGATAATGAACAGTATTCAAGATCAAAAAACCATAAAACAATACAAAACAGCAGCAGAGCAAACACGAACCCCCAAAACATCAGAGGTGGGATCAAGTATATTTTTCTAAAGTTTATTTTACACCTTTAGCACCAAGCAAGCATTATGAAATTTTCTTTTCATCTGTAACTGTACTGAGTGTGATTGTCAATACTTGTAATTTTAAGGAAGCAATAAATAATATTTCATTTTCTAAATCTAAGGAATAAATATGCAAGACGTTATCCATTTTCTAAACCTCTGACATGATATTCAGTCTCCTCCAAAAAAAGACAAAAAATTGTTTTATCATCTGCCTTAAATGCAGGTTTATTTATAACGTGAAATGTTATAAAGTAGAGGTAAACATATTTTGGTACCTGCTTAAACCATTAAAGTCCTCTTGTAATGGGACACGATTTCTTTGCAGTGCTTCCCACAACTGACGACTCATTATATTTTTTTCCAGTATTGCTCCTGTTTGTTGATCAACGAGATTTCTGAATGCTCTGTCTATATTGAATCCAATGAAAGTCAGACTGTGATGATCCGGATTGAAAAACAGGTATGGATGCGCACTGTTTAAAGAATGGATAAAATTAACAATGCATTTAAAAAAAATTAATAAATACCCAAACAAGATAAATGCAATACTTTATTAAAACAGACAGCAATACGCTTCTAATACAGTAAAACTCGGTTATAACGAAGACATTGGGACCTGTATAATTACTTTGCTACATCCGTAGTTCGTTATATTCATAGGAAATTCGTTAAATATATGTAGCTGAAATCTAAAATATATCTAAAATAACTTCGCTTTATCTGTGAATTCAAAATATTTATGTTCTTATAAAACAAGTTTTTGCTATGCTGTATATGTAAGTCGCATTTTGTAGATCTAGAAGCATTTTCAATTTACATCCAAAAATTTTTAAATCTAAAAATAAAAGAAAGTACAGTTTGAGTTTTATTGAGCCCTAAACAATGTTGACAAAAGTAATGAAATAATATCAATTATGAGTTGAGTATATGAAAGCGGTGAAAGAGTGTGACATAAAGGGGGACAATTCTGGAAATAAGACATCATCAACTTAGTTTATTATTACATATTAAAGAAAAGACTCAAAATGATTCATTTCAGGGTTAATTCCCTTCAGAAATAGTGTCTTCAGCCGTCATCCACTTTAATTTTAAAGTATGTTGAGTAAAATCCTTTTAACAATTACATGTATATTTCTCAAAATCTTTGTTGGCTACGCATGCATTCTATACATGTATTGACAAAGAAAGTTCCACTGAAATTTGATATCTTCTTCAACTTTTTTAAAGAAATAACGGGGAACGTTAATGACGTCACAATAAACATTTTGGAGGTTATGTGAAAAAAAAAACATTTTTTATTCTTACTGCATGGAATCCCTATGATTCAGAAAGGACGAATTTGTACGTCATCTCCATATTTTAGAAAAATACAGGACAAAATTTGTATTGAAACTGTACCGTATTCTTTGTTGAAATTATTTTAAAAAGGTGATACTAAAAGAGCAAGGTTCACTTATGTCCCCCTTTTTAGCCCTCTAAATTTATGCAAAAAGTCAGAGCTGCTAAGTTGTAATTGAAAATATAAATTCTACTTGAAGCCTTGATGACTGCATAATCAATAAAAATGACTTTAGTGTTCACCTAGTCCATGTATTAGGATGAAATGAAATGCGTCATTTTCCCAAAATCTTGAGATATTTTTTTTCAAATTGGCAAAAATTGTAAGCTGTCTTAAATATTTTGCCTAGCCCCCAATTTTTGATCTTAGATGTTTTCTTATGATTTAATGAAAGAAATCTTTTCAGGAAATTTTTAATCCATGATTTTGTTTTTTGTTTTGTTTTGTTTTGTTTTTTTTTTTTGTTTTTTTTTTTTGGGGGGGGGGGGGGGGGGGGGGGTCTAAGGGCATCTTGATTTTAAGTTGAAGATGCTAAAATTTAATGATATCATTCAAAATTCAAGAACATTGCAGATTAAAAATGCTTGCTTTTCAATACTTGGATTCTCGGAGGGAAATGAAAGTTCCAGGGATCTACTTTATCTCGATGTTCGAAAGGGACAATGGGACTCATAAAGTCAATTAATTTGTATATTACAGGGCCGTTTTATAAATAGAGTAAGTGAACTTACTTAGTTACTTGTTAATAGTTTATCCATAAAACATCTGAAAATTTCGTTACCAAAATTAACGAAATATAAACTTTAAAAAAAGATAGACAGTTAACTAACGAACTTATATGCCTACCTAGTTTCCCATCTTCGGCGCATCTGAAATTGCTGAAGATCAGCATTGTTTTCAGGAACATCATCATTCTCTCTTCGATTCAGATCGCCAACTTCTTCGACATAATCCGAGTTGCAATTTGTTTTTCCTTCACTCATGACCAACGATCTCGTTGAAAAATCCTTTGAATTTTATTATATTTCAATTTATTCTTACGTGTAAAAATTAACGATAAAAAAAGAATGGCAATTAACCAAAAAAGATACCTTTGACATTTGAATAAGGAAGCGGAGAACAAAAGTTTGAAACCCAGGAAGATCCTGCGAAAGGCCTGATCCGCAAAACGCTGATTTTTCGAAATCCTTCAGTTGTGTATTAAGGAAATGTACAAAGTTTCGCAGCTCTGCCCAAGATGGATCCTCCAAACAACAATGTCTACAAAAATTAAACATTCCGGAGAATCCCAAAATGTAAACATATAGATTCACACATTTATAAAACTGGTGAAAATTATTTATGCCCTACCTTGTTAAAACAGACAAACATTCTTTCATATTTTCCCCTTTTCTGTGTGTATTGAATACTGGGATGTTTCCAGTTCTTGCATCGTTGTTTTTTAAATAATGAAATGGTCTTTGCCACTCATCGGACTGGAACTTTTTCTTGTCGAAACCAACCATAAATTCAGAATTTTGAGCACCTGCTGTGAAAATTAAATCATTATATCAGGCTTGGCAAAAAACTAGGAAATACTTTCATTTCCAAAAGTTGGGAGTTGCTTCATGTGCTTATCATTCCTGGAAAACTACTAAAAATTAAAGTAAAACTTAGTATTTTAATCACGTCTTATGGGGTTTTTGTTTAAAAATCTTACTTTGTATCTGGTTTGATCTGAATAGCTGTTGAAAAAAAAACTAAATGTTTCATATAATGTGTACTGTTACAAAAATATACATGTATGTGTTTTTTAAGAAGATCTTGAGTATTAATGCAATTGTGTATTTAATATATTGAATTAAAGAAATATTTAGAATCAAAGATTCATGTTCATCTGTTGTTTGTTTTTAATGTTAATTCTTTTAAATATTTCTGAATCATGTATTACACTAAAACACACCTAAAAATCTTACTATTTTTCTACGTTTACCACGACGGGAAATACGGGTATTTACGAATGGTAAATATCACTAAAGGTATTTCCTGATCGACCATGCATAATAAACACGTGTATGTACAAGAGCAGGTAAACCGTTTACTCTATGGACCAAGTTTTTTTTTTAAATAAAATTTTCCAGCGATTTAAAAAAAGTTAAAGAAACTCTATTCATATATTTATTTATCTAAATCATTGTTTTGAAGCTTAAAGTAAAATAACAAACCTTCATTCACATTTCTAAGACTATCTTCAGGTGATATGCATGTTACACACGGAAGAATGTTTAACAGTTGCCAAGAAGCATTGAACTCTTTAGCCTGTGAAAATAAAGTACATATTTTGCCAAATTGCTTGTGGGACATTGAGACGCATTTTAAATTTTTTTTATAATAAATTTTCAAAAATGTTGATGTACTTGATCGTGGTCATCTGGGAGCGTTGTTTCGATAATGAACAAGTCATTCTCTGACCTCCTAAACACATATCCACTGTCATTTACCGTACTTCCAAGAATAAGAATGTTAAAAAGCATTGCTCCTACGAATCTTTCGACCTGTAAAAACCCAGTGCATTGTTATGGTTATGAAAAGAGAGGATTGCTTCATAAATATATTTTTGTGCTATTGGTGGTTGGTTTGATCATATTTTATTGTATAAATACTATACAAATGGTTAGCTGGTGGTTGTTGAGGGGTTAAAAAATCAATAAATAACGATTCTGTATGTGGTTTAGTATTCATCAGGCATCTTACCCCATAAGCAATGTCAATATGAAATATTCGAGGAAACGTCAGATCATCTGGCATGGTGCTTTCAAGAAACTTCTTTGAAACTTCTGATTTGTCAATCTGTTTTTGGCTTATTGGTATAGTAATGGACAAAGCGAAGTCCTCCCCAACTCCGATGGTGTGTTTTTCTAATAGTTTTTCAACCAATCGATTTTTATACAAAGTTTTACCCAATCCAGCTCTTTCTGACTTCACTATTCGAACGCAGCATCTGCATTAAATGAATTGAAAGTACAGTTTTAAGATGTATACTCTGATATAAAATTTGATCTTTTGTGCCTTTAAACTTTAAAACAGTCAATATTATCTTACAGAACCAGAAGGTATGTGATTATAATAGATACAGGATGGGCCAAGACGCTAGCATTGTCGCATTTTTCTCCAGAGGGAGATTTTTGGATAAAATGAAATAAATGTCCAAATTTTACTCTTATTTTTGTATGCAACTTATCACTTATATATGTACCTTAATGAAATACTCAGGGTTTAAACTTAACGCTCGCCCACTCGCAAATTGCGAGTAAAAATTTTTAATAAAAATAGATGTATAATTTGAACAATACAGATCCTTCATTTGGGTAGGGGTAACATGTTTACATTCGATTTCCCTTGAATTTTGACCCCGCACCACTCTTCGAAACCTTTAAAATATACGAGCACAAGTAGGAACAATTTTTTTTGGCTGGTCATTGTATTTTATTGATATCTACCTAAATGTGAAAGGTGAAAAATGTACAGAACTGCGCTAACATGCTATTTCTTTTTACAAAAAACTGCAAAATCTAGCTGGCCTTTACCATTATAAACAAATCGACGAAACTAGATTTTCTGACGTAAGAATAAATTCATATGCTTATCGAAGCACTGGCGATACTTTCTAACTGACCAATCAGCTAAATGATGCGTTACGAGTGAGTATCAAAACATTCTATGGAATTCAAATCGCATGCTTGGATAAAAGGCTTATTTTACCAGCTCTCTGAAAAATAATTTTTTCATGCATTCGAGTCACAAAAATAGAAACGGATTTACATACAGTACCAGGTATGTACAATTTCCGAGATCATACATGTAGTCATAAATAATTGATTGATAAATATACATAGTTTAAAGTTTTGTAAAGTGTTTAGTAGGTAATTCGCTAGGTCTACACATCTTTCCAAGTATCAGTGAATACAAGTCTCATGTGAATTTCTTGACCCCAAACCGTAAAATCTGAGAATTCATGCGTATTCCAAGGTATGAACAGCCTTGTTTGACAATTAAAAGTTTGAAATGTAGAGGAAAATAAAAGGTTAATTGACTTAAACCGCGCGTGTCTGTGATAAAATGAAAACATAGTAAACCACCCATGTATTGTCGTTCTGTCGTTGGATTGGACAATTGTTTTCGGTAAGCGACTATTTGCAAAATAATAATAACAATTCCCATATAAGGTAGACTCCCCGGACATGCATATCCTCTATTGTAATAAGGTCCGTACGCGTCCATTCTATGTCATAAAAGAACATATTATCACATTCCTGGCCGAATTTTTCCGTGATAGGGTCTAAAAATCATAGCTAATACAGTATACCTTATCATTAGAATGTCTCGGAACTATTGAAACTATTCAAAAAGCGTCGTATTCACTCATGTTTGAAAACTTTCAAAATCTTTGTAGATTAAATGTATTTTTTGTGGAAAGGGGGACTTCAGATAGCAGTAATGTCACCTAATCCTTTATTCACATCATATTTTTTTTAAGGAGGATGCATAATCATCCAAGAAAACCAAGTTTGACTGAAATTAGCCTTGTGTTTTATAATGTTGAACATGTATAAAGTTTACAGACGACACTCGACACACAAACGCAATACACCTTTTGATCAGAAAAGCTCATTTGAGACTTTCGCTTAGGTGAACAAAACAGGAGTACCTAGAAGGATCAATGGACGCTGCTGCCTCTGAAATATTTTCAATAGTATATTTCTTCCTTAAATATTCCCGGAGTTTTGCAGGTGCGGCTGTTGTAATCTTTGATGCTCGAAATTTATCTAGCGCGGATACCATTGGTGACTTGTATTCATTTTCACTTGCACAAATGATGACGAGTTTGTAGTCTAAAATATAATAAGCAAATGAGTATACATCATCTTGGATCTTTGACCTATTATGTATCATGAAAAAAAGGATATTACAAGATTTGAATAATATTTCTCCATGACATATTAAATACCTCCTTTGGCAGCTTTAATATATTCAGTGACTTCCTTCAGGGATTGTTCACTTGCATCGTACTGCAGCATGTCAGCGTTCATTAGGCAAAATAGAAGTTTGTTTGGGTCCTCTTTGTTCTGAAATAACGCCCTTCTGAAGAAGATAGTAACCTGGAATAGACAGTTGTAGAGTTTATAATTGCTTGCCTAAAACATTCCATTAGGCAATATATTTAACATTCTAGTATATTTGCATAATGCGACTTGTTAAAAAGTTGAACATAAAATGAAGTCACATTAATTCATGGAGTTTAATGTTCATGGGTACTAACATGTTGACTCGTTCCTTGGTACGTAATTTGATTCCATAAATCGGAACTTGACAACGTTAAAATTGTTACGGAACACACAAAGACGATTTTCAAGGGCATCATGAATAAAACTAGTTCTAATTGTAACGGGGACCGTTACAGATGTTCCCCAAACGCTCCCCAACTCCTTTTTTGTGCCAATTTCCTTTAAAACTTTTTTAATATGCTCAGTATTGCAGGATTTCATAAAAGAATTTTAAAAGCTACAATGATATAAACTTTTTGTCATTTAACGCACTGCGCGCAAAAGCACGTGCTTTCACATGCAAGGTGATCATGGCATGTTGCTAAATCATTAACATTTCTTTATATATTCCAAGAACCAATAAAAAATCATAAAATTATTAATGTCACCGTTTTTCAAATATATTGATCATTTTACGCATTGAGCATGCGCAAGTGCATGCAAACATAGTAGTATCACGTAGGAATCCATTATACCTATTCATATTCTAAATTTCATCATGTTTTGTTGAGAAACAAGAAAGTTATAGGCATTTAAAGTTTCAGCCAATCAGATTGCAGAACACATGCTTGCGCATGCTTTTATGATAATTCTTATATATCATGCTGTAGATCTTCATAATGTTTGACTATGTTCAAAATTTCAAAGGATTTTATCAAAAAACAAGAAAGATATTGAGAATTTAGTTTCAGCCATTCAGAGCGAAGCGCACGTGCATGCGCGTGACATCTTGGTATTTTGACCATGTCATCTTGTCTATGCTACTAATATATCCCTACATTATAAATTTCAAAGGATTTCATCAGAAAATAAAAAAGTTACGGCTATATCCATTATATTGGTCATTTCACGTGTTGCACGTGCGCGCTCTTGCAAGCACGTGCGCGCAAAATGGCATGTTGACAATGTCATCTTATCTATATTTATAATATGTCTCTATATTCTAAATACCAAAGCATTACATCGAAAAATATAAAAGTTACGGCAATTTCAAGTATATTGGTCATTTCACGTGTTGCACGTGCGCGCTCTTGCAAGCACGTGCGCGCAAAATGACCTTCGTTCCGCAAATCTACATAACATGCCTACTTACCCTAAAAAGGTTTCACTTAAGTCGGATGTGTAGTTTACAAGATCACTCGCGGACAAAATTTTCCCAGGAAGAAAAATAATAAGAATAATAATAACTAGTGCTAATTGTAACGGGGACCGTTACAGATGTTCCCCAAACGCTCCCCAACTCCCTTTCATAGTCATATTCCCTGTAAGCGTAATTAAATATGACAAACTTTATGCATCTGAGACTTTAACAACGTTTACCTAGAAGTGTATCATGTTCATTCAAATTTTATCATTGCACACTTGCGCATGTTAATGCATGTGCGTAATGACCATATCATATTCTCTACAAAATCTATATTTTTAATATGCTAAATATTAAAGTATTTAATCCAAAAGAATAAAAGAAAAAAAACGCTCATTCAAGTGTATTTTTGATTTTACCCATTTCACGTGCACGCACGTGCATACATGAGCATGGTGACCATACTTTTATGTAGAAGTCCATTACATCTATCTATGTTGTAAATCCCATCCTGTTTGGTTGAAAACCAAGGGAGTAATAGCTGTTTAAAGTTTCAGCCAATCAGATTGCAGCATTCGTACACGCACGTGTATGCATGTGCATGGTGACCATACCTTCTTGTAGAAGTCCATTACATATATCTATGTTCCAAATCCCATCCTGTTTGGTTGAAAACCAAGGGAGTTATAGCTATTTAAAATTTCAGCCAATCAGATTGTAGCGCACGTGCATGCACGTGGTTTCATGATAATTGCTATATATCATTTTGTAGGATATCCTAATACATGGCTATGTTCAAAATTTCAAAGGATTTCGTCAAAAAACATGAAAGATATTGAGACTTTAGTTTCAGCCAATGAGAGCGTAGCGCACGTTCATGCGCGTGAGATCTTGCCATATTGATCACGTCATCTTGTTTATACTACTAATACATCCTTACATTATGAGTTTCAAAACATTTCATCAAAAAATAGAAAAGGTATGGCAATATACATTATAGTGGTCATTCTCGTGTTGCACGTGCGCGCTCTTGCAAGCACGTGCGCGCTAAATGACCTTCGTTCCGCAAATCTACATAACATGTCTACTGACCCTAAAAACATTTCACCTTAGTTGGATGTGTAGTTTACGAGATCATTCACGGACAAAAAAGTGCCCAGGAAGAAGAAAAATAATAATAATAAGAAACAGAGTATAAACAATATGTTCCCCAACTTCGTTTGGGGAACATAATAAGAAACAGAGTAAAAACAATATGTTCCCCAACTTCGGTTGGGGAACATAATAATTATAACCATAAATCTTGTGAATGCATTCGTTCATACAAATAACTTTTATGTGTATATTTTCTTATGGTAAATGAATGTCTTTCTTGAATCAATGAAAAAAATTGCTATTCTCTTGCAAACGTTTTACCTCTTCTTTTGTTGTACTGTCTGTGCATAACAGTACTTCATTTCTTGATGGCAAAGGAAGGTTTTGGTCCGTCATATACAATGTTAGTACCATGGGAAGAATTTCTCCTTTAAATCATAAAAAATTATTTTATTTTTTATTTTTAAACTCTCAATAAGTATATAATTTTGATCGTAACAGTCAAGTAATGTAGTTGTGTAGACTTACGCCGTGGGCATACAATCAGATTTGGTTTTCCGCATTTCAATGGGTCCAGCAATGTTCTTTTTATTGTACCATTTCCTAAGAAGAAACAATATTGAATAAATATTAATAAATATTATCTATACACCAAAGGTATATCATATCAAATGTACATCCTACAAATGTCATATATCACAGTCAATTAAAGTCATTTATAAATATTAAAACTTTGTTCAGATTCTAAACTAGAACCACTTAAAAATCAATTTACTTATAGTGTAGTGTTTCTCAGTTACTGGTATGTCTTAAAATTTCTGAAATGTCATATCTAAGGGTTTTGTCACTTACAAGTAGCTATGAAATATTAGCTTTGAATATTAGTGTTTCCTCTGGGTACAATGTTGGAAACTAAATTAAACTCAATATATAAAAGATACTGCTGCCATACATTCAAATGCTTATTTTGATGATGGTACTATTTTACAGATTTTGATTGTTGTCAAAAAAGGGTTACGATGGTGGTCTAATATCTGGTACTTAAAAAAAGAGGAAGTCAACCGTTTTGTAAAAGAAAGACTATCACTATGTTCTCTTATTTTAAACACTCGGAATATACATTCAATATTAGGATAACATACACAATGATACTAAATACGTGCATGTTTTACAAAATAAATAACGAAGCAATTATTTCTAACCTTGTTCATATAAAGTTTCCAGAATCATTCCAAGGTGATCAATGCTTAGGAAGTCTGTGGCACTAGAAGATGCACAGTCAAGAAATTTCTTCCATGTTTGATCGAGACTCAGAATCACTTGATCTATTTCTTGTTGCCTGTATCAAAAGACATGTCTTAGAGGAATTCTATGTACATATGATATGATACATGTAACAGAAAAAGATAAAATTTTGATGAAAGTTATTCGGTATTTGAGGAAAGTTGTTTGCAATTGGAATCTAGAACTTAAGCTCCAAACTTTTGTTTTCTTTCTACGAGTAAAAAGGAAATGATACGATTTCCCGATTATAATTCAACTTAAATATTGCCATAAATGTTGAGTTTCCTTCAATATTCAAAGTTTCTGAGAAATTCAAAATATTGCTTTTTGTTTTAATAAAAGATTTTTTGTATATTTTTAAGTGTAATAGTGAATTGATTGACTTCATTGGAATTTTAATACAATTTATTAAAAACGAAGTAACATTTGCATAATCTTTCTTCCCTTCATCAATTCATTTGTTTATAATAAAAATACGTAAATTAATTAAATTTCAGACTACTGCAATATTTTTAAGTCTTAGTACTTCTAGCATGTTACATATTGATTAAGTAACCCTTGTGGCGCGGTGGATAGGCGTATGCCCTAGAACATGTTTGAATCCCACTGTGGTACGTAGATACCGGTCCTTCGGATGAGACGGTATAAATCGAGGTCCCGTGTCGCAGTAGATGTTGGCGCGAAAAAAGATCATTTCACTAATCCATGTACAATGTATCTGAGTGTCGAGTATAGGTTTAAAAATTCATCTCTCCACTGGCAAGTGATGTCATCTCCATAGTTGTAAAAATTTCTCAAGACGGAAGTTACATAACAAAACAAGCAAGTAATATTGTTGGATGGTTAATACTCGAGTAATTCGCCGGATTTAGAACGTTCAAGCAAAACGAGGGTATGGCTTATGAAGAAATAATTGAGGAGCATCTATAAGTAATGAATTTTCTTAGATTTCATCCTCTCTCATTAACCGTAAACTTGACATTCCTTTGCAATTCATTTTAACTTTCTTTTAATTTTTTTCAATTTTGTTCTATTGAAAATCAATATTTCCTGTTTCCGCAACCAATTTTCTGCATGAAATGTGTGGAGATAACGAACAGTATTTAAGTTCATTAAAGAATACAAATTAGAAAAGCAGAGCAAACACGAACCTCCGTAACATTTTGGAGGTGGGCTCAGGTGCCATGGAGGTGTGTGCATCCCCTGCCTACAGGTCACACCCACCACGTGCTTCTTGTCATGATCGGGAAATAACGGGAAAATCCGTGCACAGCTCGGTGTAAAAATAATGACCTTACAGTACGAAAAAGGTTTAATAAATTTGTGTTTCCTGATAAGGTCATTATATACCATAAAACTTACAAAATGATGACTTTAAACGAAACTGCTGATATTCTTCTTTCATCAACTTCTTTGCCAATAGCTCTCCTTATTTTAGAAATTGTTCATAAGTAGAACATGCTTTTGCGTTTATACTTCTATTTCGCACTAAACTATATTTGCGCTCAATGCTGACCTATTTTTTTGCTTTATTTCCAAGATAAAGCTCAGGGTTGGTTCACCTTTTTACCCATGTTTGTCTTACAGTTTTTTGATACGCCTTTGTCTAGATTTAAGAAAGTCTAAGGGACTCTACTTCAACTTTGTAAACAACCATTCCCCGCCATAAATTAAAGTCCAGGCTTTGACAACAGGTTTTTCAATAAAAATGGAACTCGTAAATTTACTTACCGTGTCATTGGTTATTTGCAAAATTATTTTGTTAAAAGCGTTTTGATTGAATACACTAGTACTCTGAAGTTGACATAAAAAATATGACTGAGTTTCTGATGATAATATCTATGTTGTTTTTGGAAACCAGGTCCTCTAACAAACTATTGGAAGTTCTATGAGTACCAACTGCCCCCATTATAAGCAGACCTAATTTTGGATGCAGGGGAACAGAATTTTTTCAAAGTCTTATACGTAAAAAGAAAATAACACTTGCCGTTGCCTTCAACTTGACATTTAGATATACCAACGACGCATTGTCAATTAAAAATGGTTATTTCCATTCTTATTCGATAATATTTATCCCGGTGAGCTTGAGATAAAACAAACCACAGAGTCTGACATATCTGTTTCTTATGGATATTTTGCTTGAAAAAGATTTCAATGGTAATCTTACAACCAAGCTTTATGATAAACGTGATGACTTTCGCTTTTCAATCGTCAACTTCCCTTACTTATGCAGCAAAATACCTTCGTCACCTGCATACCGAGTTTACATCTCTGAGTTGATTTGATACGCATGCGCATGCTTTACGTATGTACAATTTCTAAAACAAGGTAAGTTATTGAAAATACAAATTGATGAAACAATAAAAATCAACAGTCTCGGTAAAGTCATCATTTTGTACATAAGTTTGATGGTCAATACAATTACCTCATCAGCAAATACAATTTATCATTGAGTCATATGCTGACTGACTTTTTTATACTAGTTCTTTGTCCATTATTTACACACTGAATTGACGACGGATTTTCCGCTATTTCCAGATCAAGACTAGACGAACAGGACGAGTATGACCGGATATAGGGAATATTCTCACTCCTCCATGGCACCTGATCCCACCTCTAAATGTTTTCTCTGGTCATATCTCTTTATTGATTAATGGAAATTTAAGCTTAAATTCTGTTATCTTCATATACATGTATTTAATTAAAAAGGGTTCTGTTAAAAATGCACTGAAGATACTTTCTATACGGAGAATGATAAAAACCTCAGTTTTTCCTCTAATTCTTCCATAAATTCCCTCATTTTATCACCAATTGTACTGTCTTTTATTGTCTCATCTTTTTCTGTGGTTTGGTCTAAAACGCTATTTTCCTCGTCCTCTTCATTCTCGTCGTTTGTCAAGCACCACAATAGCCCTGTTATCCAATTAGCAATTAAAAACATTCTATTATTGTAAGAAAAATATATATAAAATAAAAAAAAAATTACATGTTCAAATTTTATTAGATATGTCAAATTTACCGGCACTTGTGTCTTCTATATCAAACTCCTGTGATTTGATCGCACGCAGAGCATGTTTCCGAGAAACGCTTGCCTGGTCGGCGACCTTCAAAAACCTTTGAATAGCCTCAGCGTGGCTTTTCATTTCGGACACATCGTCCATTTTAGCCGTTTGCTCTTGAGTCAACAATTTTTCTTGTACAGTATTTATGGCATCTTCTAGATCCGGTCGAAGTGAACAATTAGATTTAACCAGAGATAATAAAGGGCAGAGAAATTTCGTTGCCCCATTTCCATTTCTGATTTGTGCAATTTCTTCCTGCAGAACAACCATTTGATCGACAGTAAAAAAGTTAAGAGGATAGAAGGTACTTCTTTTTTCTCTGATATATTTTATCCATTCTTCATAGCATTTTTCTAAAAAATCTGCAATACCTCGAATGTATTCGTTTACATTGCTTTGTATTTCTTTTGAATCCTCGCTGACTTTGGGAAAATTTGTACCTTTCACGACCGACCTATCGTTAGTGCTGATTAGCACGCTACTTCCAGCAGATTGGTTACAATGAAATTCAAAAGTCCATTGTTTAAACAGGATGCATCCAGATGCGTGAAGTTGAATAAAAACTTTTCCAAGTCTTGTAACATTATCAAATATCTGAGGAAAAAAATATCACAGCATTAAATATTCTACAGTTTTTGACATATGACAAATGACAAAAATTTAATTTAATTTATCTTCGCAAAAGTTTTCTTTTGAAATATGGTTTCACCATTTTTTTTTCGGCGAAATTAAAAAAAAAACATATTACTTCACTTCAATTTGAAAAAAAAATATAAGAATCTTATATTATCTTAGTTCTTGAAATAAAATAGTTTTTAATTTGTTCCCCTTCGATGAAAAAAAAACAATTTATATGTTAATTATCATAATTATATTCATTATTGTTGTTATTATTAACTGAATCTACACACTAAGTTTTCTAAAGATGATTTTCAAACAAGAAAACTGTGAACCAATGCTTAATAATAAAACCCCCGCTCTTTTTTCTTGACATATATATTTATACATATATAATTTTGAAATGTATTATGATACTTGACATTATTTTAAAATTAACAAAAAAATTACTTTTCTTTGAAATAAGTTGATTCATTAGCTTTCACACTTGTTTGATATAAACTTCCGATTATAAATGACTTACCGATGTAAATCTTTCAATACTTTCCCTTCCAGCATCTGCTTTTCCTGTCACAAGCATCAGTCTACTTTGAAGGTCAGTCATTTCTCCTAATGAATAATCACGTCCCTCCTCTCTATTTCTCAGTTTTTCTTGCTTAAGCAGTTTCAGTGAATTACTTTCTTCCTCAATTTCAACATCACTATCACTTTGTTCTGTGTCAGAAATATCTGATCTTTCTTCTTTAAAGGAGGTGCCTACGTGCTTATTTCCTGGCACGTGTAACCAAATAACATCATCTAGTTCCTTAGAAAAAAAACAGAAGGGACATGAGTGATTTTAAAGGAATATTATCAAATTTCTTGATATATTTTATTCACATACCAGCTGATGTTTGTTTTTGACAACTGTTCCTCGATAATGGCCAACTTTGAAGATTCCTCGTTCTTTTATGGCATCAACTTGTTTCAGTGAAGTAACTTCAACAGAGCCGTGTGATTCCTTGATTTCTATGTACCAGTGTAACACATCATTTGATATTTTCTGTGTAATAAAAGATATATAAAAGAAGCCATAGCATGATACACCAATTTTAACTCAAATGTATTTATTGTACAAATAATTATTTGCGTGTTGTTGTTTTTGAAATTGTCATTATTTGTGTTTTATATAACATTATTACGAGTTTTATTTTTCATTCTGCTATTTTGGTTTAAATCATATATGTATACTACATGTATACTTCATAGCATATTGGTAGAGGTATTCAAACAATAAACAAGAGGTTATTTAGCTATAATGACAAACTTATAAGCAGTAGCTATGGCTATGTTTTCACAATTTAAATTACATTACCTAAGGATAGTTGCGTATGTATATACATGTACATGTATTTAATTGAGACCATACTTTCCTTCATAAGAACCATTTTTGGTTTCTTTGCTATTCACCAAAATGTACAACTTTACAAGTATCCCTAATGCAGGCCATTATTTTTCATTATTGTTATTGATGGATTGAATTACATACTGATATTCATAATGATATTCATATCTATTAGATGTCTGCTGTAATGTTGCACAAAAATATGATAATAAAGCCTACATGTGTTTGGTGGTAAAAGTATGATGGGTAACTTAAAGGCATAGTATACCAGTTTTTGTGGGAGAGAATCATCTTTCTCAAGACTTTGCCAAACTTCTTCCCATTTCAACATCAAATCACTTTCTCCATTTATGCTTCCCAGACTAAATATCATTGGGGAATAGCCTATTGTTGCTGAATGCAATGTTGTTACCCTCCCAACTTGATCGTCTCCTTCAACAGACAACAAAGCCAGATCTGCATATATCTTTAGATCTTTTACTCCACCTGTAATAGAAAGAAATATCATAAATTTTCCTTATTCTCTAAAATAGTTAACTTTTTCAAAGTATAGTTACTTAGTGTGTAATTAGTTTAGTTATGCAGAATATTGACAGGAACAGAAGTCTAAAGAAAATAGGCCTTATAACCTGGCATTGCTCCTCTTAACCATTGTACTAGCTCGCTTGATCTAAGAAAAGATACAATGCTTTCTTTTTGCTTGCTGTTAATCATTCCCAAACGTTCGTTGAATGTTTGTACTTCTATTTTCAGATCTGTGAGTGATATGTCTTTCTTGGTTTCCTGAAATACATTGCAATTCAATTTTATTATTTTATTAATTCATACACATTTTCTTTCCCCTGTCCCTGAAATGCTTTAATTAAAACTTTTACTCACTGAATTCGCAATGAGTTCCATTTTTTCAAATGATCCATCCACACTGTATTTGCCTCTTACATCCAGAAGAAGTTTGGCAACAGCAACTGTTTTCGAAAATTGTCTAAATCGATGTAACTGTTCTATCCTCTCCTTGATCCAGGAATGCTTTCTACCTCTGTTCATGGCAACCAATTCAGTTTTTAAGTTTTCATCAGATAACTCGCTAAAACCGTATTTTTCAATCTCTCGAATAGATATGGTACCATTTTCAATTTTTGTGCAGAGATCATCCCATATATTCTTCGTGCACATCAAAATCTTGTCGACGACGTCATCAAATCCAAAATTCTGTGCGTTTTTGAAATTCCGAGCAGTTATTCGCAAAATTTTATGAAAGGACTTGCTGTCGGTGTAGAAAACAATGTTTTTCACAAAAGATTGCAAACGACTGAGTAAATCTTGAAATAAAATTACTTTTGGTTGATATTGGCTACATCCTATGCTTTCTTCAGGAATTTTACACACATTTTGGATTTCCAGCATTTTCCAATTTCGCAAACCAGCATCATCTATTTCTTTGATTGGGATATTGGTTCCTAAGATACCAATAGACATAAATAGAAATGAGAAAAGATTAGCATTTTATTTTAAGATAATGAATATACTTGTATGATAAATGAAATTTAATCTGAATCTTACTCAAGACATTCAAAATTTGTGGAATACGCATACAGAAGGAGATACCTCTTATATGAAAAATCCCCTACTTACCGTTAAGGTTTAAAGTTTGGAAAATCAATGCTTAAATCTTATCATATTGCATAATGGGTTGAAATATTATTTTTAATAGTATTTTTTATTGTTAATTATACAAAAAACAGCAGATTCTGATAAGTTCGAAAAATGAACCCTACGTACATTATGTTTTTTTTCTGATTTTGCAAGAGACAAACTAGATTCAAATGGGCTGTATCGCTCAACTGAGTACGACGGCTACAGAAAAATAGAAATCAGTTCAGTATTGAAAAGTAGAATTTAAATAAATGTTGTTCAAACCTTACCTTCCCCAGGAGAGAATGATATAAACAATATTGAATCGATATTATATTTTCCCAATATATTCTTTGTTAAAGATTTATTTTCAGATGTGACCCCTTATTACCCTAATGGAACATAATTTGTATAAACTTGAATCTACACTACCCGAGGATGTTTCTGTATCACTATGACTAATTATGGCTTTCCTATTCTTGAGAAGAAGATTCTCAAAGAATTTTTCCTATCTATTTCCATGTTAATCTTTGAACACCCCACCCCATTTTGGTTTCTCCCTGACCACAGGGGGCATGATCTGAACAAACTTGAATATACACTATCTGAGGATACATATTAATTAATATGAATAATTATGGCTTTGTTATTAATGAGAAGATATGATATTTCCTATATATTCATAGTATGTAGAAGATTGATCCCCTATTGCCGCCCCACCCTACCACTGGGGTTAGGATTGATATACTTAAATTTACACTACGTTAAGTAATTTGCATACGAGTTTCATCTTTTCAACTCAGTAGAGAAGACTTTACTAATTCGTGATTATTGTCCCTTGAAATACATGTTTGTTGTGGTAATTTAAACCCCCTGTAGCAAACAGGGTTAAACTGGTTAAGTAATTCGCGGAGGAGGTCTAAAATGTAATAAATTTTACATACAACTCACAATGGAAAGCAGATATTAGACACTTTTCCAATAGAAAAGCTTACTTGAGCTTCTGCACAGTTAAGCAAAGTTGAAATTGGAAAAGCTTACTTGCACTAATATCTTTGAAAAGGAACTGCAATTTCTCAACAGTAGTTATGATTTCTTCAGCAAAATTTAAATCCTTTTCTCGACACATCAGCATGTTATTCAGTGCAGAAATTGTCAATGGCATGCTTATGTTTTCATGATTTTCAAACACCGTTGCAACAGAAATAAAAGTTTCTTTTCGGGAACAAATAAGTTCCAAACAAGTAATGTGCAGATCATTTTTGCTAAGCTTATGAAACAACGATTTCATTATCGTTACAGAACGCTGTAGCTTTTCTTTTGCAGCGGAATTCATATCTGCAAAAACTCTCGTTTTATACACTGCAAATGAATAAAAGAAAAAAATTATTTTGAATGTTAAGTATTTAGAGATTATAAATTCATTAAAAAAAGTTATAGTAAATTTTTGTTGGTAAAGTTTCTAACATTTACTATCACTTCGCAACTTTTAAACTTACAATAAGCCTCCAAACATTTAGGGTAAATTGGAGAGTTCAGGGCTAGATGGATAAATTCATTTTCAGATGCATCTAATTCAATTTTCCACATCTCTGAAAATATCTTTGAAAGAAACTGTGATGTGTAGACATCTGTAGAAACGAATACGTTTAGGTCATTCAGAAGAGTACAGATTCGATCCCCCTACAAGATAAATAAATATTCAAAAAATCAAACATATGCTCAGGTTTAAATATAAATTGATATATATTAAATAAACGAGCAAGGAAAAGATAATTAATTTTTAGTTGGAATGGATTTTGTCCTCCGCAATAAAGTCTTAAATTCAAAATACCTTTTTATCATAAATGTTTACGTATATGCATACATTTGTTTACTGCCTTATTCCCCTATAATATTTATTTTTACAAACCTTTTCATATGGTAAAGTTAGTATATGTGTTGTTTCCATCAAATCTTTTGGGTATTGTTTACTCTTGATTATCTAAATTCTCATTGTCTATATATCCGGAAGTTAACCTTCGTCCCATTTAATAAACAATACCATATTATAATGAATCATTTGAATAGAGAAAAGTTTTTTGTTGACTTAGAGAGGATTGTCTTACATATACCACAGTAGTAAACATGTAAAATTTCTCTCTTGACTCAAAATGTGTACATGTGTAAATCATGTGCATTTCTATACATTATTTTTGCTTACAAGTAAGCCAGGTATACATTTTATGAGAATAAAACTTAAAATCTTATTCTGTCTCAAACTTATACATTAGTATTTATCAGTAGATTCAGTATTTATCGAATCATGAAAGAAATACGCACGCTAACTCTCGATTCCCGTCTACATTTTGCAACCATTTAACTCAATATAAGTGGCAATTTAGCCATAAAATCTTTGATTAATACGAAGAACAGTTCAATAGTAATTGATGAATTGACCTTATACCAGCACTAAATAGTAAATTGTCCATAATTCCAGCTCTTGAAAAAAGGGTAGACGATATTTTCCATTGAAATCTGAATTTCAAGCATCACCTTAATTTGAAAAAGTCTTAGATATGATTAAATGGTTCTTATATGTTTTCTTATATAAGCCATAAATAAAACCTATATATATGAATAAAATATAATGTTTCATTTGTAAATCGCATCGAAATTGGTGTAAATAAACATATGCCCCCACCCCCACCCCCCACCCCCATCCCCCCGTGAAACAAAAAAAAAAGCTTTTGCATGAATCTGTGAAGTAACAGTCTATATAACCTGTAAACAGGAATGTTTGTGTCACGGGGGAGGGAATGTTTCAAAAATATTTACGTTTTCCGTTGATTTCTTTAGTGAAAAACACAAAACACTCTAAAAGTTTTACCAAAATTTTAGAGTAATCTCTCCTTGTTCTCCCAAATAAGTAATGTTTTATAAAAATCTATACTATTATTTTTTTAAAAAGTATTAAAGTCATCGAATATGTTAATTCGTGAAATAGAAATAGTTACTCAGAAACAGGTGGGGCGGGAGAATAATACTATCGGTCGCAGTTCTTCATTATCAAAGGCGAAGTCATTAACCTGTATCAATTTCAGGAAGAGGGGGTGTGGGGCGGGGGTGGTCGTGGCTGTAAATAAAATTAAAAAAAAATAAATTACATGTACCTGTATCAATTTCAGGAAGAGGGAGAGGGAGGCTGTAATTAACATTCAAAAATAAATAATTTAGCTTAATTCTGATTTATACATGTACGGTCCTTTTTTTCCTTTCAATTTATAATTGATACTTTAATTATTGAAATGTTGTAAAAAATAAAATCGACTTCTTACAAGATATGTGTCTCTTACGAGACCCTATAAATTCGAGCATGTTTCATTCTGTGCAATTATTCATTAAAACATAATTAATGTTATTCTGTACTTTAAAGTACTCTTTCATCTTTATATTCTCTGTAAAGATACCGTATCTCTGCTGCGACTGACCTAAGTCGATACAAAATGGGTAGCAACTGTTCCTTCGCCATGCGCTCGGCACTTTGAAGTGAAAGTTGCGGGTCCTTCGGATGAGACCTTAAAAGCCGAGGCCCCGTGTCAGCGGCAGGCGTTGGCACGATAAAGATCCCTCACTGCTCAATGACCCTGAGTGCCGAGTAAAGGTCAAAATCTGAAGCCCTACACCGGCATACGGTGACGTCTCCATATGAGCGAAAATTCTCGAGAGGGACGTTAAACAATATACAATTAATCAATCCTCTATAAAGAGAATATTTCTATATAGTATTATGTTAAGACCTACGCCACTTGGTGAAACGCTAATTACGCCCGACTAAATGTTGGCGTAAGCCCCTGAAGAACTTTTAAGTGAACGGGCCCCTAACTGTTATTAAATTCAGTCAAAGTACTGGACATATTCACTATTTTTTAAGTTAAAGTTTCCATTATTTCCAATGGTTATATTAATCCCGATTAACTGGAACTTGGAAAGCATTTATGCATTTATTTGCTGAAAGTTCGCGCTTAGTATGATGTATTATATTTAACAAGTTGCACCACTAGACTTTCTATTAAGGCATTTTGACTAAAATGTCGTCTACAGTTCTTGGTTGATAAATTTGACAATAAAACTAAAAATTCGGAGGTTAAAGATATTCCTACATGAAAAGGTTTTTTTTTTCTAAATTACCATTTTTGTACGAACAACAGCCAAATACAATACATTGGGTATCCTCTATATATACCTCAAGAATAGCATCGATAGACTCCATCAGGATTTTCTGTAAGAGGTTTCTTAATGACTCTGATTGACAGTCCTTCATGATTTTGCTATATATCTCGACTCGCTTCCTGTCATCGATCTGTGATGATGAAATAATATATATATATATATATATATATATATATATATATATATATATATATATATATATATATATATATATATATATAGCCAAATTTAAGAATTGTATATTAAGATCTCACTCGACATTCCTTTACCAATGTTATTTTTATATTTTTATTTCAATGTTTTTTAATGAAAAATTTATTCGTATGAAGTATATTATTAGTGACAGTAACATCAAGAATGAAAGTTGAATTCATGTAGAAAATCTGTAAATTTTATACCATTTCATCCATTTAAAAATTGATTGTCAATATATTGTTATTTTAAAAATTGTAATTTTTAAAAAAAAAAAATAACGACATTTAAATATATAATACGTAAAATCCTTCATACCATCACACTGACAGCCCAGTAAAATCTATCAAAGCAAATGAAAAACTTCATAAAAAACGTTATTGAGGCATTTACCGCTTTAAACATGTTCTCTGCATGTAACAGACAATTTTCCTTCCATTCCACAGACAATTCAGTTTGCTTTACGTTCCCCAAGATTGACAATGCAAAGTCATGAAGCTGAAAATTAAACCTTTTATTTTTATCAAATGTTCAATTAATGAAGGTTAAAAGCAACGGTGAATCTTTTTTATTTTTAAACTTACGCTCAAGTCATTTCCAAAACAAAGTAAGATGTCATTAATTAGGTATGTTGTTCTTTTCTGTAAACTTTTCAATTCCACGTCTGCCTCTGAGCAATGTTTCTCCAAAACCGCTAAGGATAGCATATTGCAGTGAAAGAGAGATACCAACATTCTTTTGTCTTTTATTATCCTTCTCTTTTGTACTCCTATCGAGAGTATGGCCACACACTTCTCTTGCTGAATTTTAAATCTTTCGGGGATGTCTTTCAAGTCCCTTCTGTGTATAAATATACACGTCAAATGAAAAAAAATCCTGTTTTCTGTTTTTTAAATGTTTTGGAATATTCACATATAGTGCCATGCTACAGCATGATACGCCCGTCAAAAAATCACAATTACCTTAAACAGTAGAGTGCAAGAAAATCAAGTCAACCTGGATTCTAAGATTTCCATGATTTTTCTATTCCTTAAAATATTTGTTTATCCATCCCCTGTGGTGTAGACATTCATTATATTACGTCATTGATAGATTTCTAACCTGGTTGTGGAAGACCTTGTCAAATGCCCATCATATTAAACAATATCAAATTAGTTTTAACAACTTAATCTATCCTAAATTAATCTTGAAAACAAAAGGCTGGCCATCAAATGACATATGCTATAAACTGACCAACAGTTTTTCTAATTCCCAAAGGATACAGATAAGACTGTTTGATCAGAGATATTCTAAATGAATGACTGAGACAGCTAACCTGCCTACATTACACTCATTGATTAATCTTTGACTGGATGCTTGTCTATTAATTACTAACCAGAGATGAATGGATCTGCATGATCTACCATAAAACATTTTTAAACATTAAACACTAAATGATTTTTTTAGATTTAATGTCAGATAGTTTTATAATACAATTTATATGGACATATGGACATGCTGAGTTTACCCCCACCCCCATAAAATTAGTTTTTAAATTAATAATATTATATAATAATCAGATTACTTTTCATCAAACTCATTTTAAAACTTAGGCTAGCCAAAAAAAGCTATTTTTAATCCAACGGGCTCACCCGTTTTCCCAATTCCCAAAGGATATAGATACCAGTTAGCTCCTCACACTAAACTCATTAATTTCTCTCTAATTTGACATGCAATTTTCTGTTATCAAACTTCCTCTTGACCAATGCTTGATAATTACACTGATGGGAGATGTAGATATTCCCTAACAGACATTATATTTTTTATCGAATGCTGTCAAGTATATGCTGAAACAAAATAAGTATTTTCTTGATTTAACACTTTTTATGAATGATAGTGCAATACTCTTACATTTTTGGGATGTGTAAATGAATAGTAAAAAAGACACATTTAAAAAAAATGTACTTAAATTTAAATGTCATAGTGACCTTAAATTAAGTCGCGACACACCATCTACCTAAGATGCATAAACTGGCCAAGTACGTGTGATGATTCTAAATCTAATAATTTTCTAGTTATGAGCCGGAAAGGATTTTTCCATATTTGGCTATAACTTTTTAATTATAAATATGTCAGAGCGATTTACTTTTTGTGCCCGACACACCTTCTACCCAAAATGTATCACCTGAAAAAGTTTGATAACTCTATGCCTAATATAGTATTAAAGTTATGAGCCGGATACGAGAAAAGCTAACAGACGGACACGAAGTCTATAACTTAATATGTCCCGTCTTAAGACTGGCGTACATAAAGGCAGTAATTAAGTTATAACTACTGCATGTAATGCAACAATGAAAACAAATCAGGAAAAATGTGAGTGTGTGTGAGGGTGTGTGGGTGTGAGGATGAGGGTGAGAGAGAGAGAGAGAGAGTGGGTGTGTGTGTGTAATTCTTCTTCTATGCATAACAAGAGTGTTATCCTTATATTGAATACTCACCTGATGGTTGCTTTACATGACAGTGATTCCAACAAATTCTTGAAACATGTGACTATCTTCTCCATTCCTTTGCCAAGATTATCCATCTTTAAAAGCAATTACAGTGTATTGCACTTTATTATTCTGAACAAATACATAAATAAAAAAGATATTTGTAATACATGATTGTATATTTTTCGATGAAAGTTGTCATCGGCAGTTTTAATTCATCAGAATGGATATATTTTACCTGAGAAGAATATTTCGCATCATCAAAATAATGAAGTAAAGTTGCCAACTTGATTTCTATCAAAATGGATTCTTCCATCATAGCCCATTCTAAGTCCTGGTAGTCTAAGCACGCCATAAACCCTCTCTGGGTCTTTGTATCCAGTATAAAGAGCGGTTTCAATAGTGATATCATATCCGGTATTGATCTTAAAAGAGCAACATATGCATTTTCTTTCAATTATTAAATGCAGAAAATAAGTACAGATAAATTAAGCCATATTACCTGGACCAAGTTCGCAGTTTTAATTCATCTTTTGTAGCCTCAAATTCGCCGACAGACCACCACCCTTTCTGTTTATCGTCAAAATTCTTATAATCTAATTCTTCGAATGGATGTAGAGAGCCATCAAGGAAGTGAATAACGGGTAAACACGCTATCCAAAAAGGGTTTCTTTCTGTTTTTTCTACGACGTTCTTTGCCGATTTCTGTAGGAACCAGATTAATGCCTTTTTCGTCTGCCTTGAATTGAAAAGTGTAAAAATCTTAAACTACAAAAATTAAAAGTTTAAACTACATGATCTAGCTTATGTGCTGGATAAAGTAAAGGTACATTAATATAAAAATACATGTCTAATATATTTTTTGTATTTTGTTCTTATTAAAATTTTGAAATAAGAACTGATCATGAAACATACTGTTAATGTCTAATTATATTGATAAGGAAACTTTGCTTTGTTTTACATACTTGAAGATACTATGAGTTCGAATGATATATTTTTTTTCTTTTTTTACAAATTTTTACACATGTGTGATATTTGGGGAAAAAATTTAAAATTAGGACCAAAGAAGAATATTTACAAAAATAACGACAATTTACAACAAGCGTAGAGCATATTTCATCTGTATATAAATACCCTTAAAAAGTATCAACGTTTAGACAGCATCGTTGTTATCTTGCTATCATCTCTATCGAACACACTATTTAATCAAAAGATGCAATGATAATTAATATTTTTAAAATTTTTTTAAGAAAGTATTTTTTAAGTTTATGTATACAGACATTCCCATCTGTACTTAGAAGGCCCACGTAACTGGTTGTTTTCAGCATACGCTTTATAATAAATTAGGATGTTGTACGCTATGAAACCTTCATTTTTACGAAATGCCAAACTTTCGAAAATTGAACAAACCTGCATGTTCGAGGGGTGATCAAAAAGTTTGTGAACTAATTGAATAACTTCCATAAAAGAAATAATATTCGGTTTCAGTTGTTGATAATATTTTAAATTAGTTTTATCCGATTTCAATGCACATCTGTCACCGTTCTGCTCATGCGCAAATCACGTGATATAGGCGGTCACGTGACTCCTACCGTAGCGTTCTGTCACAAAAGCTGAAAGATTTTTCTGAGTTTTATATTCTTTCCATGTAAGTTAATTTTTAAAACAAGAACAGTTTATTGGTCAGAAATGGTCAAATCTAGGCAACAAAATGGTTGGATAAGCTAGAATATCCTTTCCAAAAATAAGCATGGCGACCATCAAAATCCAAATCTTCTCTCTCGGGAGAAACCTTTCTTCAAGGTGGATAGAGAATGGGTGCCTCCTTTTTATCATGTCTAATATGTTTGAAATCTAAAGTAAACGATATCTTAGGTATTTGATAATGATATTATTGTTAAAATACTCATCTATTTTTCAAAGTGTAAATTGGAGGTCGTTTTTGATCACCCCTCGTATGTGCCTCTAAAATATTATATTTTTTCAGGTTTTAACAATTAAATGACATTAATCCCTTTCATTCATAAAATTAGCAGATTCAAAACTTATAAAACTTTAAGATAGGCTCAAGGATGAAAAAAATTACACGACTAAATGAATGAAAATATTATTCAACCATATACCATGGCAGACCCTTTATTATTTGTATTGTTCCAATGAATCTTTTAGCCTATTAATTACTCCATTATTTTTTTTCTCTCTCTATCGGTAAAATGCATGGTAAAACTTGCGCCTTAAAATTTGTCTATTGATCGGTGTATATAAATCACAGACTTAATTTCGCCCTAGCATTTGCAGAAATACATGACTGTATATAAATATAGGCGAGTGGGTAGGAAGATCATAGACAATTTTATGTTTTTAAATATGATACATGTATATCTATATTACTGTTTCATTGACGTAGAGAAATTCCTCTCAACATAGTCCAGCTGCTCAGTGTTCTTTTCCTCAGCTGAAAGCAAGAGGGCTTGGTGGATTTTTTCGACAGTTCTGTAATCGAGTAAGTCATAAGAAAAGCCCATGCAATAGAGCAGCTTCACAAGAGAGATTGCCTTCATAAATCGCTGATTTTCATCCTGTTTGTTTGCATTACTTTCTAAAGCATTTATTGTTGCCCCCAAATGATCCTCTAGTATTATCTACAAGAAATAAAGAATGGCTCTTATTCTCATTTAATTGAAAAAAATAATCTAAGAATACAACAAAAGTGATATCATATATCTGTTATTTATCTGTAATCTTTCTTTATAGTGTATATTTGCATTTCTTTGATTTGATAAATTATCATTGTGAAATGCTTTTAGATACATTTTTAAACATATATTTCCAAAAAAATGTTATAAAATTTACCTCTGACTGTGAAATATATGAAAATACTGGTTTAAATATTCATAACTAGACTATACCTTTTGCCAAATTGTAGGGTCATAATGGTATCGATAAAGCATGAAGTGATCCTTAATACACCCTCGGAATACTTGTTGATAATTGTCCATTGTGGCTATTATTGTTGAGGGATTATTGTTCATTTCTATGACATTTCTTATGTCTGGTAAATATTGTTTCAAAGCATGTTTACCATCAGTGCACATAATCTCAATCATACTTGAATTGGACACTCCAAACATCTCTTTGAAGAAAATGACAGCACGATTTCCACTTTTCTTGGCATAGATGTATCCATCATATTGGTGGTAGCAATCTAAAATGTTTTCCAAAATTAAATACTGTTCAACCGAGAAAAAAGCAGAATTGCAGTGCACTAGGCTTATTACTTTCATATTAAAATGAAATTTGGTGTACATTTTTATCAGCTTTTTCTTTTATGTGTTAAAATAGTTTTTAAAAAGTTATTTTAACAAACATTTAAAAATTAGATTAAAGACCTTATTTCCAGATACATGTATGAGTCAATCAGATAATGAAATAATGATATATATCTTACAATTTCAAGACTATTAGTCAAACAAGAAATTACTGATTATTAATACTAGTACATGTACATGTATTTATACTGAAAGGAAAAAGAAACGCAAGGTAACCTTTTGAGGTGAATTAAATTTTTTTTTTCATTTTTTTCAGTATTCCTATCTAACTTTTACAATTATCTTTCAAAAAGATATAACCAAATTCTCATTTGATTTTGTCTAATAATTCTTGAGTTATTGAAGCTCATGTGACGGTACCCCCCAAAAGTGAAAAAAAAAACTTTCATTATCTTCAATGTCTCTCCTGCACATCTGTCATGAGCTTTATATCTCCTTTGCATGGAATTCATCAGAGTGAGTATCTTTCAAACCCTGGCGGTATTGGGCATGGGTAACCACGCCAAAAAAATTAATCATGCGACGTGCACATGCGCGAGTGAGAGGAACACAACAGTAAGTTGACATGCTAAAAAAACCAAATTGCAGAATTGTTTTCTTTCATTTTTTGTGTGAATGTAATGACTATAATAGTCTACTGTATAAAAGGCGGTTTTTGTGGCAGGAGGGATGCGATTTAAGAGGTGAAAGGATGAATAACCCGCTCGTAACATGACTCCGTTTCTCGTTAACGTCATCGTCACGGTTGATTGAAAACCATTCCAGGTCCTCTCTGACAACGGGTAACAAGTGTTATGGGGAAAAAATTACAAGAAACTGCTTACTAGTTATAACCGTTGTTGCCTCTTTCATTAATTAGGCAAATCGAAAATCAGACCCCATTGAACTTCCGTAAACTGTACAAAGATTGCAAGAAATTCACATCGTCTCTAAATATTGAAAAACAATATGTATACCTTAGGTGCATCAAATGGTGCATCAAGATTTGTTGACAAACTTGTCGTCATCAAATTGCACGTGTTTTGGGCTTTTTAGCGTTTTCCCTACATGACGTCATGCATTTGACGGTTGTGTAATTCTGAACACTGATTCTCGTGCAAAGTTACTAACTTTCTCATACCTGACCAATTTTCGTAATTTTCGGTCATGCGGTCAAAAAGTTTTCGAATATTATGCTACCCTGCGTTTCTTTGTCCTTCAGTATATATATCAATGTAAGATTTAATACTAAGACCAGGCTTTTCTGTGAATTCAGTGCTAAAGGCATAAGATTTTATACACATATACTAGTACCTATTTCTGGAGAAATTCTCAATATCCGTTCACCGCTGTGATACGGATAGAACTGTTGAAATAAAAATTCATTTTCCATCGAGTCTTTCTTCTGAAAACAGTATCTGTATGATAGACCATTCCTTAAAAGATCTTTTTCCAGATCGACTTCTGCAACAACTCTTGTTCCATGCTGATCTTTTTTTCTGCAAAACATTTAAGCAATGAATCATAATTTTTTGAAAGATATAGTCTCATAACTGCAACTATGTGTGCAAACAAATTAAGAAATGGATAATTTGACGTTACAAAATCGGCCCCAATTCTGTGTGCGACGTCAATATTTCCAATCACTTTATATGCAAAAAATATGTTATGTTTATATGCACAAATATGTATACAAAGTTGTACAAATATGTATACAAAGTTGTTCATTCTTAAACATGCATGTGAAAACTGTTGAACATTAACGTGATTCACGTTCAAAAATATTCTTGATTTACCTGTTTACTACGCTTTCAAAAATTGTCATAAGACCCTCAGGCTTATGGTCCCAGTTATCACGTGTAGGACCAAACACAACAAACAGATTCTGATCCTTCTTTGAAGTCAAATCTAGGGCCACGGTTGATGCAAGAAAGGCATGAAACACAACCCTTGTTGTCTGTAAAAATTAGAATTAAATCTTTAAGTTCAAAATGATAAAAATT